AAAATATCTATTTCAAATACAATGAAGCACCCTCCTTAGGATCACTTTATCAGGTGAATGATAACCAATGTTGCTCAGCATAAAAGCCTAGCATGTATATATCCTTTTCATTAGGTGTTGCCCTTGTACATATGTATGCTACAAATTCACAATAAAAGACAAACAGTTGAATCATAATTAACATTTATAGATTAATATTTAATTGCCAAAATGCTCGTCTAAACTACATGCTGCACATGACACAAGCATCAACATTTTAATTAAAAAACCTACATTTTTACCATTTTTTTTTACAGAATTTGTTAACGTTAACGCTCGGCCGGCATAAAATATAAATGTCCAATTTCTAACATGTAATATTATCAGCTTTCTGTTATTGTAAAATGATAGTTAAAGTCCATTTGAAAATATTTATACATTGTAATTTTTTCCTATCTAAATTAGCATTAATAAACCCTGGACTTTGATTAATTCTGTAATTTTACCTGTACCAGCAAGACGTCTTTTTTAATTTACAATTGGATAAAGATCTAACACGTGATATTATTAGCTTTCTGATATTGTAAAATGACAGTTAAAGTTCATTTGAAAATATATACATGTACATTGTTACTTATATATATTCCTATCTAAAATAACACCATTTAACCATGCATAACTTTAATTATATAATAACATAGCATTAATTCAGTGATTTTACTTGTACCAACAAGACACATCTTTTTTTTAATTTGCAATTTTAGATATAGATCTGACATGTTATATTATTAGCTTTCTGGTATTGTACAATGATAGTTAAAATTTATTTTAAAATGTTTAAACATTGTTATTAATTCCTCTCTAAAATATATTAATTTTACCTGTCACAACAAGACACAAATTTGTAATATACAATATTTTATTATTGCAAACTTCCAGATAAAGCTTTTAAAGTCCCTTTTTTTCTGTGACTGATGTTGGCGATATTTCAAGCACATTTAAACATTACAATTTATCTATTATTATGATGAATTCTGAAACTTTCTGCAAACTTAGGCAGGTGTGAAGATTTGATTGTATCTAAAGTTTAATTATATCTCAACATGTTGCTCCACGTAATTCTGGTTCAGCATTGAGTGACAATTAAACAATTGTATCTTTTGCAAATGATTTGTTAACATTTCATTCTCATAGTTTGAAAAATTTCATGTGGTTATAAATTTTATGTATATGCTGTCAACCAATTTTAGCTCATATGGCCAGTATATATATATTGGCAGAGGGGTGGGGCCCAATAGGGGAAATAATGGGGAAAAAATAATTTTGTACAAAAGGATATTAACTGAAATTGTTCTCGAGCATCTTTGGACAAAGGGGACTCAAGTTTGCATAAACAGAAGGTGTTGGTGTGGTGGTTTTTTTTTTATACTTTTGACAAACAATTGGCAATATGAAATTCTACAAACCTTCTTTCATTAGTGCCCTATAGTATAATCACAGTGTCTGTCTGTCTTTCAGCACTTTTGTTTCCGGAGATTATTTCGGGACTCCAAAAACAGGCCGAAATTTCTATACATATAGATGTGCAAAGGACCAAGAGTTTCACAATTTTATCAGGTCAAAGTTGAGGTCGCTATTACTAAAATTGAAAAGTGGGGCTATACTGTCAAAAACACATTATATGACCCTCAAAAGGCCAGATTTTGGTAAACATTTTGTTATGACATAATGAAGCAAAGTTGGTCATAACCAACAAGAAGTCAACTTACCAAAGGTCAAGGTAATCTGGTCAAATGTTAATCATAAGGCCAAATTATGTTTATCTTCGGAATTAATTCGGGATCTGCGTATGCAATTAGTAATGATGTCCATCTTTCTATCTGTCCTCTGTCCGTCTGTTTGTCTGTTATCACTTGGAGATTATCTCAGGAATCAGAAGTTCAAACTGGAGATTATCTCAGGAATCAGAAGTTCAAACTGAAATTTCTCATGGTTCTAGATTGTGATTCAGATATGCTATAGGTTTTTTTTATCCTAATATCAATGCAAGGACTAATACTAAAATAGAAAAGGCTATGGCCGTGTTTACACAATTGACACCAGCTTATTTTTCAGATAAAATACCAAACAAACATGAATTTCTCTTGGTGTTTGACTTTATATAATAATGCAATTACTTTTAAGGTTTCAAAGCTTTGAAATCACAAGTTGGATAAATAAATTTGGCTATAACTTCTGTTCTATAAACATAATTTTGTTCATACTTTTAATTTTGTGGCATCGTGGCAAATGATACAAATCACCAATGTGAATAACCCCATGACCTATTCCCCAAAGACCAAGATGGTCGATGTAGCTTTTGTTTGGTTCTTAAATGGGGAAAAGTTAGCTAGAGATACCGCATCTGAGTTTGAGTTGATGAAATAGACAACAATGGTGCGGTAGCAAGATTTATCTTCACTGTTGTGTTATTGTTCTATATTAGTATATATAAAGTTATTTAGTACTCTTGCATTAGGGAAGAATGTTAAATGATACTTTGTTTTTCCCTCATAAATGTTTCACTCGAGCTTGGTCCTTGTGAGTTGTGTTTCCCTACAAGGCCACAAAATGTATAATTTGGGGGAGGGGTTATAATATAACCCCTCCCCCAAATTTTACTATTTAAATGGGGTTAGTTTGTCTGTCCATGCATCTATCTGTCTGTAGACAAAATGAATATGAATAAGAACAGTAAAGAACAAATTAAGAAGGATACATATGAAATATAAAATGTACCAAGTAATGAGAAATGTATGGAGGAGTTCTATATAATTAGTTGTTTACATAATTTCCAAGTTGTGCTATTATTTCCACCAGGATTTGAACCTGGGTCTCCCACCACAGAGTGGCTAGTGTGATGACCACTACACTATAGAAATATCTTTAGCACAACTGACCTTTTCTTTCAAGTTTTATTCCCATTTTTGTCTTTATTTTTTACATGTTTTTGCCATGCACTTATATTTACATTCTCCTCTGCTTTTCTTATCAAATTGGAAAATGAAATATCCATATAGCGGAACTTGACTGTGTATATTGTCGGCGAACAGATAGCTCAATTGGTAGAGTGTCCAACTAGAGTTCGGAAGGTCCCGGGTTTGAACCCCGGTCTGGCCGGGGATATTCCCTCTCCCTTTACACCGGTATTAACCAAGTTTATACAATTTGCATGGGCAAAAAAAGATCCGGAGTTTTTTATCCTAAGATATATTAATACCAGTAAAATAAGAAGATCATTAGTTTTCCATTAATATTAATTATGATTCTGCAGTATAATTGTCGAAAATCAATACTTGCATTATAAGATTGCACACATATACTGGTACATAAAATGCAATTCAAATCTGTACATAAGGTTATTCTTAAAAAGTAATCAAGATTCTCCCCAGTTGAATATCTACATTTACTTGTAGTTGACAGGGGAACACCCTTTAATTCCCATAATAAGAACCCTCATACAATGTATTTAAATTTTATCTCATATACCAGTATTTAGTCATCAAATGAGACCACATAGGCACAGGTGCAATAAATAAGTTTTGTAATCAGAGTTTTTGCCAGGTGTTTATAGGGTCTGTTAAAGTGATCCATTACAATATTTTGAATATGACCCTGTTTTTTCCCAATTTCAGTCTTTATTTTCCCAATTGGATTTAAAAGCATGTTCATACAAGTTTCCAGGCATTATATCATATGTACACTCACTCACAGTTCAATCAAAATATAAAAAAAAGTACAGAAATAGCAAGAATTTGAAATTGAATCAACAAAAAAAATGAATAATGATGTGTTTATTTATTGCTATACATTTTACTGTAAGAAACAGCTAGATGATTTTTTTTTGCAAATCACATGTGGAGCGGAAATATAATAATTAATATAATCAAATATCGACATACGTGTACATGCTTATGAGAAACATGATTTCATTAGATACTCAGTGCCCGTACATGTATTTTGTACGAGCGCTAGTATCAAATGAAACCATATTTCGGCTATAAGTGAAATATACATATTTAAAGAAACTTTATTTCATTATATAATTGTACTTGTAAATGGGCTAAAAGTATCTAATGAAATCAAGTTACTTTAATAACGATGAAGAATTTATACCATTTATGGCCGAAAGAATTTTCGTATTTTTTATTGAACGAAACCATATTTTCGGCCATAAATGGAAACTATATTTGAATTACATACCAGTATCACATGTCCTGTGTTGCCATCTGCTACATGTGTCGCACTGCAACGCATGCTGCCTCGGCCCCACCACAAGGTCAGTTGTCGCTCATGTTGATTAGGTGCAAAGTGTTGTTCAATTGATGTAAGCCGATTGAAGTGATTGTCCAAGAAAATCAGTCATATTTATCACCATTTGTGTGAGTGATCAATACATTTGATTGGCTACCTGGAGTTGAGGCGGTGATGAGGTACTCAAGAGTTAATTATGAGGTACTCAAGAGTTAATTAAGAGCTACTCACCTATAACAACAGTCTGGTAGGCGAACATCATTATTTGTGTAAGGCAATAAAAACAAAACAACAACACCAGTACGTAATTAAATAAATCCTTTAATGTATTTATTTTGATATAATTCTACTTATAAATGTATAAATCCCATGTATTTAACATATAGATACATAGTAGGGCCGATTTTAACTTGGGCCGATTTCACTTGGGTAAAATAGACCTGGCCGATATTACCTTGGGCCGATATAACCAAATACCTTCTGCACGATGTAAAGAAAAAAGATCGCATAGTATTGTAGTTTCGTTTTGTGTTACTATATATAGATTTTTGCTTGAACTATGTATATATACCAAGCATACGATACAAAAAGAGCTCGCTGCGCTCGCTATAAAACATAATAATTACTTAGCTATTTCAACTGTTTTTGTTACCTCCCTTTATCCGGTGATTTATCTCACCGTCTCCGGGTTAACTCATAGTTTTCTTGTAAAAGATCACTACAGCGTTTGTAATAAACACAGAAAAACGAAGGCATGGCGTCGGTTGGCTCGATGGAAGAGGCGGCTAGGAAAAGAAAAGAAAAACTACGAGCTATGAGAACGAAACAGAATCAGTCTGGCGAAAATGCTATGGAAACAGATGAAAAGGAAGCTTTGCCAAAGTGGGTGTTAATTGCGTACCATTTGAAAACACAAGTAATCGAACACGTTATCTAACGTTTCCAGTTTTGACGAAATAACTATAGGTCGAGAAGTATAATTATTTATTTCATTTAACTCGTACTTTGTCATATTCAGAAGTACTGTCATTGTTTGGCTGGAATTATTTAGCTATAAGAATAGATTAAAACAGCTGTGCGTGATTTTACAGTGAATGGAAGTACATTGTGTGGTGAAGGTTGGTTTATCGAGTTACAAGTAAACAAACTAGAAAAAAATGGATACTGGAATATATTTTTTTACCAAGTTTAATTGACACCGATATGTCTTATTCACTGAATAGAAATATCCCATTTTCCATATTTTTAAGAACTTGGTTGTTTTATGATTTAGATACAATCTACATGTACACTAATATTATACATTAATCAGGTTGTGCACAACGGCGCATATGGGAAATAATCCTGCATTTGGGTAACATCTTTGTATGCTATGGTTGAATGCACTTCGAATCTACTTTATAAAAAATCAAAATTTTGTGGAGACAATTCATTATTAACATGACAAACAGTGAGTATTATAGTCCTACCTTGACAACTTAACATCAAGGTTTAATATATATATGTTCCCAACAAGTGCCCATGATGGCGTGCAATCATGGACCAGTCCCCCCCCCCCA